CAACTCGAATCTCACCAGAGTAAACAATTAAAGTTAACTACGATAAATAGCTGAAATTTATAGATGATTAGAATATATTATTCTTCGAATTGCACTGGTGTTTATTCTGAAAATCGTTTTTATTATTCTCTACGTTGAAATTATAGAGAAAGTTGCTATTTTAAAATTTAATTTTTTTGTTAAATGCATTCCATTTATAATTGGCATTGAGTACATACTTTTCAAAATTGCATATTTGTATTCAATCAGTTCGGAAAAGCAATTAATAAAGAGGAGCTCATTATAAGAACACTTTGTAATCTGCTTCAGGGCAATTTCTCTTCCCTAGTTGATATTGAATGTATTACTGGAGCTAATGTGAGTAGTATACTCCTTAAATGAGTTTGACCCCGATCCCACTCAAAGAGGGATATTGGAGGTGGATATATTTATCAAGAGAATGAAGACGATAATTTTTGTGTGAAAAATCGAAGTTGAACGAATTTGCTTTATCCGATGTCCAGCTACTCATTCATGCTCAAAGTTAAACATAAGCTGTCCCTTATTATGAAAAACTAAAAGAGCGATTCCACATTCTGTATATATTCTAGTTTTCAAATTTCTACTTAGTTGCGCTGTTAACGAGTGTCACAGTGTATCTAATGTGGAATGCAACACGTAAAAGGCTTTCCTTGATTCCAACCATCATTTCTGGTCAAAATGCCCTTGTATGCAGCAGCTTCTGATATCAGCAAAGCCATTTCAACAGAACGCACGACTAGAGAAGTGTTGGTTGCTAATTGAGCTCACATTGACTATGCATAGTAATGGAACTGCATTCCACGCAACTTGAGTGAATATTGAAGGCTGATAAGCAGAAAAGACCTCTCTAGACGTGTTCACACCACCCTAATATCCCACTTTAAGAGATAGTTTTGAGTAGTATTTCATTTCGCATACTTTTTCTTCCATTCACTCTGAGATTGCTTTTTACTCTAGAAAGAGAAAACAGACATATCACGTGGAACAACTTTATTGTGGATGTGATGTGGTATCTCTGTACAGATAAATGTTGAAGTACTCATGAGGTTCCTTCACAGAACACTCTGGGTACTAATCTTATTCAATTTTTCAATCTAAATATTTGAAATATTGGCTTTATTATTTTGCATATTTTTTTCCGTCTTTATTATTTTCCCATTTCTCAAACAACTTTTTGCTTCAGTAATAGAGGAAAAGAATTTTTACTTCCTAATTTTTATTGTTCAATCTATTTACAACTAAACATACATAGTTTAAACATTTCACAGTCATTTTTATAATTTCGATTCGTTTCCAAAGGTAAAAGTCATTTAAAATTGTTGATCAGTGGTGAGAAAATAAATCATTCGAGATAATCAATCTTCATGAGATAAAAGTAGCGTCTATAGTCTAATTTGGAAATCAATTTCCAGGAACACTTTTGTCCCGAGGAGGTCTGAATAAACAATAAACAACTCTTGTTTAACAACTTGTTATTTCATAATGTTTCAACGTCATAAAACTTACCCCGTTGTCTTGGTCGACCAACAGCTCATATATTGCTCCTTCGTAGGCTAAAATGAGGGTAAAATATGAGCATATTTAACTTTTACTTTTGAAGACACCTATTCCAAAGCAATCCAACAAAATTCAATTATCTGCACTCACATTTTAGTAATGAAAATTGCTGGAACACTCAATTTAACTAATTGACCAATGTGCTCAAAGCATCACTGGTATAAATTTGTTTGCAAAATAATCATTGTAATAGAAAAGAGTGGCATCTGAATCATCATCGTTCCCAATGTCTGACTACATGGTGGATGAGTGTGGCTGTCTTCCATCTGCACACTAATTAATCTCATTTGATATATCGAGCCTTTATTTCCGGAGAGTATGTCTATTGAGCTTCTATCTGGGACTTTTGAACAAAATTGGTGAGAGATGCTAATGGAACTTCCCTGGTATTTATTCTACTAAACATTCTTCCTATTCATCAAGAGTTGTCAAAGCGAAAAGTACCAGGGGTATGGAGTGCCTTCAACAAAAACCACACCAAAATCAAGATAAACATTAATTTGTCTTACAGTGTAGACACAGATAAATTGTGATTTAGAAAATTCGATAGCATTTGAATTCACTCCTGAGAGAAAATTGATTTCAACTTTGTAATGTAAATGAAACCAAGTATGACACTCGATATTTAAATTATGAATATTCAGTTGTATTGAGTTACTAAGGTAGAAATCATATGCAAACAAAACAGTTTTTATTCCAGTTGTCAAAGCATTTCTAAACGCATTACAAAATTTTTAAACTTCTATTTATGACCTCGTGTTTTCAAATTAATCAATTCCCTGTTTGAGAGAAGATAAATATGTTGTGGACAACAAGTAATTTCTAACACAGGAAAATATTTCCACTTAATTTCGAAATAATTGAATAGAAGTAAACATGACTCACCACCAAACAAAAGACTCCCATTAAAAGAGATCATCGAAACTGTTGAAAAGGAGGCGTTGATCACTTCGGTCCACTGGGGAGGTCCTTCAGAAAATAAGGACAACGTCTCCACAGAAGAAGTTGAATTATTAAAATCACCAGCGACGTATACATTTCCATTAAAAAATTCTGCTAATGGATAGGTCCTCGAATGAAGCATGGGAGTGATTTCACACCAACTGCCAGCATGTCCAAGAGGCGATGAAGTTGTCAAAAAGATTTCGGCTTTGTCGACTTTCTGTGATAAGTTTCTAATTTGTACAAGCCCACCAACAACTATGTCACCAACACCAGGGATATGTGCTGCTCCCGTGGAAGACCTGGGCGTTGGCATTGGAGGCAGTTTCCTCCATCTAAATTTTGAAATTGTGAAAAAAAACGAGTGTTACTTATTATTTCGTCTCCTGTGACCTACAAGTTGAAGCTTGAAATAAGATGAGGTCTAGTATCTGCATGCGCACATGCTGGTGCACAGTACTACCAATATTTTGCTTATCTGGACATGCCATCATCTGCTGTTTCGGTATTTGAAAGACCTTCAATTGTCAGAAATAAGAAGACACTTGTCACAAAGGCAATACAGAATGAATACTTTCACATTAATTTTCTCTTGGTCTAAGTCAACTGTTACCCAGTAGTGTCCCTTGAATGCAAATATCTTTCTATTTATGAAAATGTATAAATTACACAATATTTTTCCAGAACTCTCCAAGAACTATAAGTCACATCATATTGCATTACCAATAGCAATGAAATGAATGCAAGTCATTTTCCAACCAAAAGCAGACAAACTCAAATTAATGCGGAAAATGCATTCTCACGTATCTCCAAATGCATATGAAATTGATATCAGAACATGTTAATCAACCGTTATATGTACATGTTGATGGACGTAACTTCGAAAATCTTTTCAATCTGAAAAAAATAACAAATGACTGGCGATCCTATATTTGAAACATCTTTAGTTTTCAGTTATAATAGGATATTTGCATCAAAAGCCACTATAAAATAAATAGATTAAGTGCATCCATTCAACCTATACCTGAGCCAAGTCCAACTGACATCAATGTCTTACAACTAATGGCGATGTACAAATGGGTGTGTAATTTCAGAACTCTCAAAATCTAACAAACGATGAGTGAAAAGTCTCATCAGATATCAGTGCATTGCCAAAAGCAATCAAGTGAGTGTAAGTCATTATCCAAACGAAATCAGACAAATTCAGTTTGATTCAGAAAATTTATATGCAATCAAGGTAGGTACGAACATCACACCAGACAAAATGTTTTAAAATGCGTATAAACTGCATATAAATTGCTTACGTGTTGGTTGTAGGTAGAAATTCCTCACACGAGTCTAAGAATTTTTTACTATGCCAATTAACGCCTCCAAAAACTAGAACTGCATGATTTCGAGCCACTGCAGAATGCAAATCTCTCTCCTCAATCATTGGTTGGAGTAAGGTCACTTCACCATTCTGTGGATTGATTCTTTCCACTCTTGATGTACTCATTTGAAACTCGTCCATGCCACCCAGAGTATAAACACTACCTACAAGGAATGAAATCGAGTAATTGAGAGTAAGCAATCGAATATAGATCCAACCATCCAAAGCAACTGAGCAGGTGCATTGTCGAAATTCAAATGGGAAAGAAAATTTTCGTCCTCCACTTAGTTCAGGAATCGCCTCCAAAACTTGACTTCTTGAAGCGCCTTTACGCCCATGAATGCAGATTATCGCTTTCGAGCTGCGACGACAAAACAATGCATTATGCATTTCATATTAAATGCTAAAGATATATATGAGTGTACCTTTCAATTGTCGTTTCAATCGAATTCATAAATGTGTCCAGAAATGTAATCCTTAAGAACCAAATATTCAATAATGGGATTAACATTTTACCTTGCGCTTTCAGACAAGTTGAAATCCGATCCACTAACTGACGTTTTAATTATAAGTTCTTTTGGTAATTTCTTCATGTTGATCAAATTCAGGAGACGATGGAAATGCTTTTCGAGTTTAACGTGTTCATCATTGAAGAGGGACACATGCAACCATGTGCAGAGTGCCTTGAATTTCACTGTTTCTTTTCCATCACATATCCAGGGACTTTGCAATAAGGTTTGAAGTCGGTCGGCACCTACGTGTTGAAAGAACGGCTGGCTGGAGGCTAATCTCTCAAAATCACATGCTATCCTTGGAATGCATACGTCAATGAGATCAGTGTTGGAAGTGACATTTCCTGCTGACCAAACCTCCATCAAATCAAGTCGATCAAGTCTACAAGACAATTGCCTCTTGCGCATGAGTGATGGGTGGTATATTGTTACATCACTTGCCAAAAACTCCCATTCCAACCACTCATATTTGTCTTTTCTTTTTGAACTTCACTTTACTTTAACTAACACACTCGCACACACGCATACACATTATGTTTATTTTAGTTGTAATAAACGAACCTTGTCTTGATGAACTCCGTTGTCCAGTCAATCAGCTGTTTGCAGCCAAGATTGTGAACCATCAGATATATCCCCAATACGTTTTCAACATTTATGATTATTTCACCAGTGTAGGCAAAGTCGACGACTGCCATAACAACACTAACGAGTTGGTAATAGAATCAGGACAAATGACCTACTTATTTGGAAAACGACTCCAATTTGAGAGATTTGAATGTTTGCTCTCTAAGATACTGTTCTTTATTCCTGGAAATTGTGCGCAAAGCACAAGTTTGTGGGCAGGAATAGCAGTTCCGTCTTTGGTCTGGAATGAGAAATGTTTCATCTGAAACGAAAATATGCACTTACAATTATTGACAAATCGATTAGTGCCATTTCTTGTCTCAATACATTGAACCCATTGGCATATTTAGAGATGAAGTCGTGATCGATTTGTCGGATCTCAGATGGAAATTGCATCGTTGGTAAATGAATTTGAAATCAGAGTGTACGATTGCGCTTAGAATGCAAAAGTGGCAGACTGTGGTGAGTAACTGCATCAATGGAATAGCACACACCCTTTCGCAACCAATTAATTTCCATCAAATGCACTACAGTTGACACGTGTTACCACAAATTTCTTGGCTCTCAATTTGATGTGTGCTAGCTTCTGAAGAGAATGGAACATAATTTGATTAACTTCATTAGTAACTTTTTACAATTGCATTTTATAACCGAAATTGATATCATTAGACAGGAACTATGTGCTTTATACAAAACTTGATACGACTTAGTTAAATAGTTCGCGTAGTGTTTGATCATATTTGTTAAACGTAGCTTTAAAATGAAACTCTTTGAGAAAATGAATTAGGTCGATTGTCTCTGGCAAACTGCCCTCCTTAATGCTTGAAAAAATTATGTATCAATCATTTGGCCATATTCAGACTCTCCACCAACTTCTCTTACGTAAACATATAATTGGTGGAAACATTGAATTGGTTTTGAAAGGCGTCAAACTATGCCATAGTAACTAGTTGCGCACCAGGATAGGGAACACCCCAGTTGGTAACACAAAATTGTTTAAAATTGAAAAACATCCTTAAGATCTTTATTTCCATGGTCAATACATTAAATATTATATTGTTTTGGTCATTTGATTACTTATTTCATTTTTATTACATAATACCCCGATTGAAGAATAACATATATTGCCAAATTTCATTTCGATATGGAGGAGCCTGAACGAAAATTGATCTGTTGACATAAAAGCCACAGCTTAATAACTGTGACCAAAGGTGCTTCGAATATTTGAATTGCCAAAAGAGAATGTGTTGTACAAACATATCCTTTAACAAGCATTCACACTTCTCAAATTTTATCACATCCTCGGCATGTTTGTGAACACTCCATAAATGAAGATATATTCCAAATTTTCGATAAACCACATTTCGATGTGAATTTTTCAAATAATGTCACTTTATTCTTGTCAATGTACGATATATAAATATCTTGTTAATGATGGGGATGTCTACCTCTAAAACCAGATGCTCACACTTGAAGGGGAACAAGAGAACCTTCAGTATTTCATGCATACACTGACTATTGACCGAAATTGGCTTGCACACTAAGACACTCCTCCACCCTAGTTGTGCTCCAACAGGCAGTAATCTCATGCATTTCGGGCTTCGAAAGCTCCTTCGCCGTCGAGCACGCAACGAGGAAAGCAATTTCTCTTTCTCCTATCCTCAATTGTAATTCGGTTTAGACATTTCTTAGCGATTTGGTAATCAGTACTCACGAATATTTACGTCTTGTGGTGTGCCAATAAATCTGTGATGCGTCGATTAAGAGAATTCTAAAGATATCGCAGCATTTCTCGATTTTGTCTACTCTTACTGAATGCTTTAAAGTAGCATAAAATAATTTGAGGCAAGTTTGCCGTAAAGAAAAATGCGAACATTTCAGAGAACACAAAAGTATTCCAACCTTCACTGTTTTGGCTTGCTTTAGACTCAGCGTTTGGCCATTTCCATGAATTTGCTCTGATTTCGTGGCTTTCAAATCGGCTACTATGAAGATTGCATCAGTCCATTTGTAAGTGAAAGCCAATTAGTGCAGCAATCGTGTACAAGATGAACAGTGATCCACACAAACACAGGCTATAATTGGATAGACGTTGTTTATTAAGCGCACAACCCATCTGAAAGTGAAGTGGGGAGGCAGGCACAGGATGGCTCAAAATTGAGAGAAATTGTTGCAAGAACAGAACTTCTTGCTGTATTCTTATTTAGAATTGCATATCTGGGGGAAATTTGTCTGAGAATTGCAGCATAGAGATATTCGAACTTTCTAAGTAATATAGACTCAGGTAGTCGGAGAACTCATTATGTCTTTTGTTCAATTATTTGCAGCCCAACCGATTTGGATGCCTGCTCAGCAAAATACTTATATCTCCAAAAATAATTTGAATTTTGGAAAATCCTCTCGTAGAAATATTTTTGAATAGTTAAGCTATGAAAATATGCAAAAAGAATTTTCGAAATTTTTTTCTAGACCAGAATACCCACTTAAACGAAATTTGTCTGGTTATTGCACTTTATCATTATCACTCACATCAGCCTGCATATATGACGTTGGTTATCGATCACAATTGGGTCTTTCATTCACATAAAATTCGTTTGGAAGATGATAAATTGTTACATTGGAATGTTAGATGATTCAAACGCTATTATAAATGAGGAATTCATCCAAATGGAGCACTTTCGTATTCCCTCGCGTCTCCATTGGCAAAATTTAACTTGTGAAAATAAAATTTCGCTTTCGAAGGTATGGAGGCTGTAAACTCTATGTACACTCTTGGTTTTAATTTCAATTTTCACTTTATAGTTTGAAGCACTCACCAGGTTACAATAAGATCCTAAAATTTGTTGAAATATCAAAATATACGTTTCCCGTGATAAAAGTTTGCTTTCTCTAAAGCTGGGCTATAGCTTAGTTAGTTCTGGGAGTCAAGCTAGATGTATTAGAATCTGCCATAGAGATTTCTGAATCAGACAGGTATTACTAGTGTTGCAATTCGCTATAGATTAGAACACGTTCATTGCATATTTCGAAGGATCACAGGGTATTCATGCTAAATGTAAATAAATTAAATATGGATTTAATTACAGCAAATAAGACAATGCTTTAAAGTATGTGAATAATGCAGCTGTTGGCTATTCTTGAAATATAGGTAAAGCAGTTTTCTCTGTATTATGTTACTGTTTAGGAAACTGACCTGCTTCAACAGCTTAATAGTCAAGATAACAGTGAGTATTAGGCACCTTTTGATTACCTGAATGACAAATGATGTCAAAAGTCTATTTGACAGCAAGTTCGTCAAAAAATATCCCTATGATATGTTTGCAGTGCAGTTATTAGAAATAGTCAAACAATCTGAATTTTAGAGAATGATTAATAGTCATGCTTTGTTAAATAAAAATTTATTTTCGTGCAAATATCTCCACATTAACTGAATTCTGATTACTCAGAATCATTTATTTATTTATATCAAATGGCAGGCGTTTTGATAGTTATCATTAGCCCATTAGTTGACTTCATGCTTCACAGAGGAGAAGTCGAAAAAAAGTCGAGATGGGGGGGATAGAAGAGTGTTTCAAAGATGTAAAAGAGACAGACACAAAGTTAGAAACAAAGGTGAGGTGATTACTATGGAAGTAGTCGAATTTGGCATACAGTGGGGTGATGGTAGTTTGGATTCAGAAGTCAACTGCCGGTTAATAGACTTTTTTGTCGTATCAGTATACGCTGCCCAGGGTGCACCACGTGGAGGTAAGTCTATCGTACACCCCTACTCAGAATCATTAAATCTGGTATTTTCAATAATTCGTAGTAAAATTTTCTT